CATAGAAAATTATGCTGTTATAAACATAGTTTGGTTAAAAAAAAATGTAGAGCCACATATCAAAGTATTTTTTTTACCACTATTCCTATACTGCAGTTTCTTTAAGCAAGAGTCAAATATTCTAAAGGACTATCATCTTTTAAAATCTAATTTTAATTATATATACCTAAGTATACCTAATTATTATTATATATAATATATATAATAATATATACCTAATTATATATACCTAAGTATAAAATGTATATGCTTCATGAAAACTCATATGTGAAACGAAACCTGAAATTACTAAAACATACCAGTAGGTCAGCTAAATCAAAGAATACGGAATGCCTAAAAAGTATTAGGAAGAATGGTATAGGGGCACCTGAGTGGCTCAGTTAGTTAAGCATAGGACTCTTGATTTTGGCTCAGGTAATGATCTCAGGGTCCTGAAATGAAGCCACATGATGGGCTCCACACTCAGTGGTAAGCCTGCCTGAGATACTCTCCCTCTCCTTCTACCCCTCCCCACACTCGTGTGCGCTCTTTCTCTCTCTCTAAAACTAATAAATAAATATTTTAAAAATAAAAAGAAGAGTGGTATAAATGAAACACAGGATTAATACTTTCTAACAGAGCTGTAAAGAATACTATTAGCAACTCTGTTAAGAAACAATATTCACTCATAAATGCCCAATACTCATAAGAATTGGAATTCCTTAAGTCCATAGATAAAGTTGGACTAACAATTTTTTTTCCATTTTAAACATTTTTATTTATTCATTTGAAAGAGAGAGAGAGAGAGCACAAGCAGCGGGAGGGGAAGAGTGAGCAGGGGAAGCAGACACCCAGCTGAACAGGGAATTTGACATGCAGGGCTCAATCCCAGGACCTGGAGACCCATGACCTGAGCCCAGGGCAGACACTTAACCATTTGAGCCACTCCGGTGCCCCTAATTATTTTAATAATATAAATTATAAAAATTTGCTGAAAACTGTGAGGTATGTCTACAGTAATATCCACCCATTATTACTCATTCCAAAAGGTCATTTTAAGAAATGTCTCTAAATGATTCTCCAATTATATTTTTAATTGAATATATTTGACATATAACATCATGTAAATGTAAGATGTACATGTTACTTTGATATATTTATATATTCTCATACGATTACCCTGTATCCATATTTATCATATTATGTAATCATAGTACAATACTGTTGTCTCCAATGCCTTTTTTTTTTTTTAAGATTTTATTTATTTATGACAAAGAGAGATAGCAAGAGAGGGAACACAAGCGCAGGGGAGCTGGAAAGGGAGAAGCAGACTCCCCACTGAGTAGGGAGCCCGATGTGGGGCTTGATCCCAGGACCCTGGGATCATGACCTGAGCCAAAGGCAGACTCTTAACAACTGATCCACCCAGGCATGCCTCCAATGCCTTTTTTTTTTTTTTTTAAGATTTTATTTATTTATTTGACAGATAGAGATCACAAGCAGGCAGAGAGGCAGGCAGAGAGAGAGAGAGAGAGAGAGATAGAGAGGAGGAAGCAGGCTCCCTGCTGAGCAGAGAGCCCTATATGGGGCTCGATCCCAGAACCCTGGGATCATGACCCGAGCCGAAGGCAGAGGCTTTAACCCACTGAGCCACCCAGGCGCCCCTCCAATGCCTTTCTGATTGAACTCCAGTCCACCATCTAAAAAAGTTTACCTTGGCTGAATCCCTGTCTTATCACAGTTTCTTGTCACAGATAAGAGTCATCAACAAAAGGATAAGCCAGATCATTTTTAAATGTTTCCTACAATTTAAACAATAGAGATAGGAATCCTTCTCCATCTCTAAAGAAACAAGGCATTACTCTGTTGAGTGATTTTTTTGTGTGTTTTTTTTAAAGCTATATATAAGTAGAACTTTCCCAGATTGCTACATTTAATTTTGGGATCTGTGATTTAAGAAAAAAAAAAAAATCTGAGGTATCTTTGGAGTATGTCGTCATTATTTTTAAATTTTGTAAAAATGAGGACTAAGAGTTTTAAAAATTATTAATGTGAAGAGACACAATGTAAAATTGTGTCTCTGAGATGTTGGGCATCTGAGTGGCTCAGTCAGCTGAGCATCTGCCTTCAGTTCAGGTCATCATCCTAGGGTCCTGGGACTGAGTCCTGCATCAGGCTCCCTGCTCAGTGGGGAGCCTGCTTCTCTCTCAGCCCCTTCCCTTCTCCCTGCTAGTTCTCTCAAAAATAAAGAAATAAAATCTTTAAAATTATGAGACGTTACAACAGATTAGCTCACTCAACAGCTTTAAACATGCCTTCTTGTAGTACAGAGGTAGTAAAGTTAAATACTAGGATTTCCCAACCACCCTTGCAGCTAGAGTTCCAAATATGATTAGCCCAGTCGACCAGATGCACTCACTTGAGACTTTTGCTCAGAACCAAGTTACATGGGGAGAGAGGCAGCCCATGAGGTGTCTGTCCACTTTTGCCACCACAAATCTCAGCAGAGGTGATTCAGTTCTGGAGCTGGGAACTTTTCTCTGCTGCCTTAATCCAGCAGGAGGAGGCATCTTGAGCTGCCAGGCAGCTTCTCGAATTGTTCCAGAAGCAGCAGCTTTTCTGGCAGCCCACTCTTGTGATGTAGTTCTGAGAAGCTCAGCCTAGGTTCTGTTTCATCTGCCTTCCCAAAGATTCTGTAAGCTCTCTGCACCCCTTAATCAAGCCCCTTATGTTTAATAGCTAAAGAAGATTCCATTATCTACAACCAGGAATCCTAACCTAGACAGAATTTGGTAGCTAGAAGGTACAGCTAGTAAAAGGATCTAAAATATGGAGTTAGCTTAGGTGAGCAGGCAGGGCTTTGGGCAGTGAGACCTCATGCCACTAAGGTTAAAGTATTAGAGGAAGTAGTGGTAGAACATCTGAGTACTAGCATGTGGGCTGCTTCTAGCCCTCAGCAAAGTCTTACAGGAGAGATGTGACTCAGGCTAAGGCTAACAAGACAGTTGGAAAGGAATATAGCATTGCCGAGGGAACAGCTCTCTACAAAACAAACTGACAAGTCCCAAATCTGGAGCCCTGAAAAATTGGAAAAGTCAGCCACTACCATACTTTAATCTGAAACAGTTATCAGTCAGGGTTCTAAGGAAGGTATGAAAGAATCCTCAACCTTTTCCTGCCTTTTCTTTTTCTGCCTCAACCTTTTCTCAAGAATTTTCTGTCAAGTAATGGCAGCCATCCTAAGGAAAGAGATCAGACTCAGACTGTTGTCAGCCCATCCAAACCCAATGGTCCCAATGTTCATTTAAGACCCAAGGGGAGAGAGAGAGCACAGAAGCCAGCAAGTAAAAGATGATGTTCTTATTAAAAACTGTGTCTTGGCAAGATCTTTGTGGTTACTCATTGTAATAACTGAGAAAGACAGACCAGAAACATACTTAGTTTCAAGGAAATTTTTTTCCAAAACCCAAAACCAAACAAATACAAACCCCAAACCTGGCCTGCAACAGCCTGTAACTATTTAAAACATGCTCAAGCCCCTAAACCCAGCATAACAGGAAGTAGCCTAATAATACTGCCCAGCACCCAAGATCGGCACCCTTTCCCTTGCCCACTCAGATGTATCCCTGAAAATTAATGGACAAGAAAAACTTCCTAGAAGGCAGCGCCAAGGGCCCCTGAGGACATTCGACAAGGGAGTTCTTCCCACAAAAGTGAATCAGGGGTTGCCTGATGCAAAAATCAAGGAATATATTCACAGACTGAGCAAAGAGACCTTGTTATTTTTGCCAAGCCGTACCTTTTAAGTGTTATGGATCAGGGGTTGCTATTTTCCTCTCTTCTGAAAGGTCGATTTTATTGCCGTTAACCTGTACCTATCCCCCCATTATGCATTTGGTACTCATGAGGCAGACACCTTGCTTAGTCTGTAGATGGGCAGAACAATAGATCCATAGCCAAACCTGATAGTGGGAACTATACAAGGATATTATGGTCTTTGAGCTATATGCAATAATGGATTGGATGTGGCAGATTTCCTTTTGGGGCAGGGCAAGTGAGTGTTTTCCATGTTTCCAAAGAGTGTACACAGATATATAGGTAGCCAATAAAGCTGTATGGGTTAAAACTCAAAGTTGTGTACGAAACATAACCTCCTTCTTCTTTAGTTAAAGATCCTAACTTTTAGCTGTTTCGAATGCCACAAGGATTTCTCAGATTCCCTAGCAGCTATATGACCAATGAGATGTAAGTTAAAATGTGTGGTTCTCCAGGAACACTCAGTCCAGGAAGCCTGTGCAACTGGGGAGAAGCTCCTTTTCCTCCTCTTGCCCACTGCCTCCAAAAGCAATCTTGGACAGTGAGAATAAGGTAACTTGAGGACAAAAACCATGTACTGAGGATAGCAGAGGAGAGAGTTAGGAACCTGACACCACCTACCTCCAGATTTCCTTTATGGAAGAGGGAAGAATTCCTAGTTAGTTTAAAACACTGTTATCTTTGGTTTTTCTGGGGTTTTTTTTTGTAGCAGAACCTGCTCTTAATAGAGTAGAAAGCAAATATATGAACCCAAAAATGACCTGAAGTCGTAGCAAAAGCTCTTCAGTAGAAGAATTTCTAGCAGTTAAGGTTGCTGGAAGTAGGAAGAAGTTACCAAGAAACACTGAGGGAAAGTGTGGTCTTCTCAGAAGAATTATTAACAACAAAGAGACTTTTATCAAGAGAGGGGATGATAAGCACCTATAAAAGACTATATGAGTAAGTGACGACAATATAAATTTACTTTAAAAGCAGTACAGAAATTTTTCACTTAAACAGTTACTGATAGTTTCATTAAATTATGGCATAATTATGGCCACTGAATTAAATCATTAAAGGAGAACAAATTAAAAAGAAGAGAGGTATGAAAGTGAGAACAGATACTGAGTTTGTATTCTTCCTGGTTGTGGTAGACTTTAATCCTTAAGTATCTGTGTCCTGAAAAGATGTGTTCTCATTTAAAAAGTATCTTCCTTTATTCCATATATGCTTTAAAATATTTATTGAGCAGAAAAAAAAGGAAGGGTGGTAAAAAGATGACACAGATGTTGATTTAACAGTTTTCTTCCAAGTTCTGATAGACTTCGGACTTTAAATGTCTGTTTGGAAAAAAAAAAAAAAGCTCTCATTTTAAAGGTATCTCCCTTTATTCTGAATCTTCATATATATATGTATATATATATATATATACATATATATATATGCACACACACATATATATACATATACACATATATATATTACATGTGTATATATATATAATATCTGTATATATTATATATATAAAGCATTTTAAAAATACACTTAGCTAATCATAGATTACAATTAACATGTTCTCTAACAATATCGATAACTGATTAGAAAGAACTGTGAATAATGTTGAAGTAAATCATTTCACCATAAATACATCTATCAAATTAAATAGCTTTTGAAATGAGCTGATGCATAGACATTTTAGAAGGCTCATTTCTGTACGTTTTTCTGTACTACATTTTTCTGTAGTACAAGTTGTGCTATTTCCCCAAATATATAGTAAATACGATAGATATTAATGATTTGAAATTACATTTGTAATAAACACAGATTTCAATTTATTCAATATTCTTATTTCCTTAAACAAAGGAAAAAAAAATAAAGTTACGCACGTGGCTGGAACTTCAATTCTCCACCAGGCCCTGATGGAGGAATTTCTTGTTGTAATTTTTTTTGTTCCATCTGCTGTACAACCTAGGGCATGGAAAAAGAATGTCTTAAAAGTAAGTATTCTTTTATTTTCTCATGACCTTTGACAAACCACAACAAATGAATTGAAAATTGTTTTCCAAAATGAGATATTCAAGCTCTAAAATTTAGATTAATATTCAACAAAGCAGTTTTTCAAATACTAAAATTTAAAATAATATAGCTAATAGGACATTGAAATATTATATTACAAAAAACACATGTGTTTAGCACAGCACCTAAAATTCCTTTTAATGCCGCAGTCATTGTATAAATACCACCTGATGATATTCCAGCTTCTGAGCCTCAAGTTGGTCATGCTGGCGCTGTAGCTCTTCCTTTTGTCTCTGAAGTTCATCTGCCTTTTTCTTAAGTTCACTTTCTTGTAAAGAGATAAGATTTTCATATTCTTTCAGTTCTTCCTCTGTGAAGAGCTGTTGCTGATCCAATGTCTAAAAGGAAAAAAAAAATGGAAAAAAAATGAGGAAAGAATAATCTTGGATGTCCAACAGGGTTTGACTCAGTTTGAAAATTCTATGATTAGCAAAGTATAAGAGTATCTATCATAATATAGCTTTCAGTAAGAAAGGGGAAATAAGAAAACAAATTTATGTATTTATTTGAGCAAAAGGAAAAATCCAAGGCTAATGAAATTGATTACCTATAGATCAACGAAGAGAACTGGGTAGAAAGGACAGAGAGAATGCAGGAAAAGAAATCATATTTCTCTGAATACAACTTTTTCATACAGGTTTGATTTTTAGAAACTTGTGTTTCATACACTCAAGAAAAGAGAAGAAAGAAAATCCACAAGGACAGGAAAACCCAAACTGACTATAAACAAAAGAAAATAAATTATACTTTTATTTTAAGTGAATAAACAGAAGGGGGAAAAAAGAACTAACCAGCAAACTTTGGGTCACAGTATTCAGACTGCATGCTCAGGTTAAAAACAACAAAAATCTAAACAAATAATAAATTCCTTTTTGCAGAGTTTAGCAATCTGAAACACTATATACATCCTAGGATTGAGGAAATAAGTGGAATAATATTGTGGAAAATAGGAGCCAGGTTTCATATGAAATATGGAAAGAGGAAGAGATAGGATGTTGTACTGGCATTGGACTGAAATTTAAGGAGGTATCAGTATGAACTCACTAAGTTTGTGTTTTGTTTTGATTTTAAGGATTTTATTTATTTACTTGAGAGAGAGAGCGAGCGAGCATGGGTGGGGGAGGGGCAAAGGGAGAAGGAGAAGCAGACTCCATGCTGAGCTGTGTGCTCCACACTGGGCTCTGTACCAGGACCCTGTCCTCAGATCATCCTGAGCCAAAGGCAGACGCCTAACCGACTGAGCCACCCAGGAGCCCCAATGAGTTCGTCAAGTTTTATATATATTGGTACCTAAATATACCAAGATGAATATGAATATAAGTGTATCTGTGTATGTGTATAATTCGTGCATATACAGATACACATAATACAAATATAAATAGATATATGTGTATATATATATAAATAGACACACATTTAGATGTTTTTTAAATTACCCAACTCTATTATCTGACAAAGTCTAGAAGCAAAGACTCTCTGGTAACAAGGAACACATCCAGTGCCCAGATCCTAGTCTGTGATAACGATCTCCACTAAAAGGGACCAGTGTTGCTCAGAAAAATGGCTGATCCCAGAGGTGGGATGGAGAAAGAACGAGATGAGCCTTGAACATTTTATTATGCTAAAAAGTAAGGAAGTCCTCAAAGAATGATAGGAAACATGCCAAAAGGATATAAAAGCCAGTTTGAAGGAACTCCCAGCCAAATGTGGGGCAATTTGGGCATCAAAATAAATCATGATAGTAAGGATTCATTTTTGAATAAAGTAAAGGGATGGGAGGGGATGGGAGAAGGGATAGCTTTTCCTTACTGTAGAAAACCAACTGATAAATATGGAAGGAATGATGGTTAGAAAATCACCATTTGTCAATAGTCATTGTAATAATGGATTCTGGCAAGATTCATCAGTGAATGCTAAAATTAGTAGATAATGAATCTCAAAGTATGCCCTCGAAGACTTTTTTTTTTAAACAGTGGTAATGGTGGTAATGCAATTCTTTTGAAAAATACTTCTACAAAATACATCAACTGCCCTAAAAAGATTCCCTTGGTCTTATTGGTGCTACATTGAGAATCCATCCTACAAAATAACCTTAAACACATAAAAAGCTTTATATAAAAATGTGTTTATAGCAGCACTATCTTTTTAAAAATAAACAGTAAAAGAATGGGTGTCTATTCCTGAGAAAACAGTCAAGCACTTCCATAACTATTAAAGTAATGCTTAAAATTTGTATTTGCAAATACTTTTGATATGATGTTGAGTAATTTTTTTTTTTTTTTAATGCTGACTTCTGATTCTGGCAGTATGGTGGGTTAGACAAGGTACTATTTAAATTACAAAAGAAAAAATAGGAAACATGATAGACACCATCTTAACCAAATAATCAAAATTAACATTGTCAGTTGTGAAAATAATCAGCAGCATATGCTTCATGGTATGATGCACTTTGCATCACTTTGGTGGTATTTCTACCAAAAGCAGGAGTCCTAAAGAAACAGCAGACTGACTCAAACTTAGGGATATACCACAAAATTATTGGTCTATATTCTTTAGAAATATGGATGCCATGAGATACAAAGACTCAGGAACTGTTTCAGATTAAAGGAGATTAGGAAGACATTACAACTAAATTCAGTATGATCCTGGATTTTCTTTTGTTATAAAGGACAGTATTAGGAAAATTAACAAAAAATCTCAATAAAGTCTAGAGACTAGAGAAGAGTTTTCTGTGTGTAGCTATCATAGATAATTTTACCATGATTATGCAAGATAAATCCTTGTTTGCAAAAAAATACACACTCAAGTATTTAAGGTTAAAGCAGCACTGTGTGCCACTAACTCTCAAAAACATGATATATGTTATATATAAATACATATACACATAGATTAAAAATAGAGAAAGAGATAAAGAGAGAGAATAACTGTAGTAAAATGGGAAATCTAGGGGAAGGGTATTCAGGAATTCCTTGTCTATTCTTATAACTCTCTTGTAAATCTAAAATTACGTTAAAATGAAAAAAAATGTATGTAATTACTTATTGATCTAGTTCACCAGAAGCAATAAATGGAATGAATGTTCAAATATCTTAGCATTCTTCTTCTTCTTCACCAAAGTCCAGAAATATTACAAATGTCAGGAAAAAAACAGGACCAAAAAAAAGCTGATTTCTTTAATCTCAAACTATGCTGATGAACAGTCATCCTGGGACTATCCTTGATTCAGCACCAAAAACTTTCACACCCCAGGAGACTCCTCAGCACAGGCTGTACCAGAACAGTTGGTCACCCTATCTCAAACTATTTTCTGGACAAATGGATCCACAGATTAAAAATCTAATTGAAGGGCGCCTGGGTGGCTCAGTAGGTTAAAGCCTCTGCCTTCGGCGCAGGTCATGATCCCAGCGTCCAGGGATCAAGCCCCGCATCAGGCTCCCTGCTCCCTGCTTCTTCCCCCACCCTCTGGCTGCCTCTCTGCCTAGTTGTGATCACTGTCTGTCAAGTAAATAAATAAAATCTTTAAAAAAAAGAAAAAAAGAAAAAGAAATAGTAATCTTTATATTTTGTATAGAAAATGACAACTTTTTTTTCAAACTCTTCCAGTTGCTACCTCTCAACTATTCTCTTTAAAATGTGTATGCACAAAAAAAAAATGTGTATTCACAGTAAACTATGGAATATATTGGTATGCCTTTCTGGAGCAATTCAACGAAATATATTTAGAAACTAAAAATGGTCATAAACCTTGAGAATAGTTTTATTCTTAGGAATTAATCCCAGGGAAATTATTATAGATGCCCAAAGATGTATGAATAAGTACAGAGTTGTCATAGTGTTAATTACTACAGTAAAAAAATTGGAATTGACCCAAATGGCTAAATCTGTTCCAATGGTTATATAAATTATGCTATAATCACACAACTGCATGCTAAGGAATCATTTCTAAACTCTGTTTTTTAAAGAATGACATCATGAAATACTGCTAACATTAAAAAACACAGAATTTCTCAAACATACAAAGACATTCATACAGTTATGAGGCCATAAGACTATAAAGACAGGATGGGGCGCCTGAGTGGCTCAGTCGGTTAAGCCTGACTTCCACAGGTCATGGTCTTAGGGTCCTGGGATTGAGTTGCATGGGCTCCAAGCTCAGCAGGGAGTCTGCTTGTCCCTCAGCCTCTACCTCTGCCCCTCCTACTGCTCGTGCTCTCTCTCAAATAAATACATAAAATCTTTAAAAATATACATAGAGAGATAGGAGTTTATGTGTACATGTAAATTAAAAATGGGACAGAGGTGCCTGGGTGACTAAGTCAGTTGAGGACCTGGCTCTTGATTTTGGCTCAGGTTATGATCTCAGGGTGGTAAAATCATGCCCTACATCAGACTCCATGCTGGGTATGGAGCCTGCTCAAGATTCTCTCCCTCTCCTTCAGCTCTTCCCCCTCATTTGCTCTCTCTCTCTCTAAGATTAATTAATTAATTAAAGTAAAATAAAATAAAAATGGGACAGTACACTATATATTGTGTGCTATACATGCATACACTAAAAATACAAACAATTCCAAATCGGCATAACACAATGCATAAATTAAGTATCTTCCTCTGAAAGGTAGAATTACAGGTAACTTCTAATTTATTCTTTCAATGTATCTATATTTCTAATTTTTAAGAATGAACACTATTTTACATTTAGAAAAAGTAAAATTTTAAAAAAAGACTGCTAATTATATGTAACATGATTACAAATAAGAGGTCAATTGCCACAAGTTTTCCAAAAAATCACATTTGTTATTTTATAGTGACATTTTATCTAAAAGCCAAGATAGTAAGGCTCTACATGCAAATATAATGGAAAACAAAAGTTACAAATGGAATGAACTGCTGTATAATTTCTTGAATCAGACATCCCATTTCAAGTAGGTTTTATTACCTCCCAGCTATCTGGCTCCAAGAATTCCTTTTTTTCTGTAGCTTTCAAAAACTCATCCAGAGTCACTAATCGGTCTTTGTTAGCATCAACCTGGTTAAAAAAAAAAAAATGTATATATAAAATAAAATAACTCTTATATCACTAGAAATTGTCTTCTAATAGTTGCTACTACACAAACATACAGCAATTAAGGCTAACCCAACATCCACAGAAATGGAGGGATGGGGTAGGGGGTGAAAGTCAGAACACTCAACATTATATTAGAATCAGAATATAGATATTGCTATCTTCTGTATTATTAAGATTTAAAAATACATTGAGATATCTATACACCTGATACTCAAAGATCACCATGCTTGAGGCTGCTAATCTGACTGGATAAACTATTATGGTCTTCCTCCCTCACCACACCATGTAAAATCCCAAGAAAAATAACCTTTCCGGAAAGAGGACTGTTTGAGCCAAGAGTAAAGGAGTTTACATTAACATTCTCTCAATATTTTTTCTTTAAAAAAACTAACTAAATCAAAATTAATGTTGACAACCACTCCCAATCCTCTTCAATGGCTCTTATAGCCATTCAGTTGCAAAAGTGAACTCCATAACAGCCAGAGAAATTCATTTGACACATGGGATGCCAGCAGTCAACAGAAATCCCAATTCATCACCAATAGCTCAAACATCAGGTGAAAATCACAGAAACAAAACAGTGGGCTTTAGTTACCGGCCTCCAATGTCTATGACCGAAGTTCTCAGCTTAATAATGTGAACAAGAAATAAATAAGTTGTTATAAATCATTACGGTATTGGATTTTTTGGATTTTCTTAATAAAAACACAGACTTTTAAAATATCAAATATTCGGGGTGCCTGGGTGGCTCAGTTGTTAAGCGTCTGCCTTCAGCTCAGGTCATGATCCTAGGGTCCTGGGATTGAGCCCAGCATCAGGCTCCCTGCTCAGTGGGAAGCCTGCTTCTCCCTCTCCCACTCCCTCTGCTTCTGTTCCCTCTCTGATTGTGTGTCTCTGTCAAATATAATAAATAAAATCTTAAAAAAATAATAAAATAAAATATCAAATATTAGACTACCTTATCTTTTACTTCTAAAGGACATGCAATAGCATCTTAATCTCCTAAATAAAAACCTTTTAAATTTTAAAATGTTTTAAAGTAGTTACAAAATAACTTTATTTATACTAAGGAAGTCTACCAAATATTCTGGGTCAAAAAATGCAAAATTCAATTAAATAGCTACTCTGTGTATTTATTTTCCACTTTATGTTAAGATTTATTACAAGAACTTGAATATCCATTGAAATAGCATATAATCCTAAAAATTTTAAAACATACCTCATTCATTACATGTTCCCTCATTCTAAGCCGTTCCTCCTCCATTTCTACCATATCATCCTCCTCATTTTTGGGGTCATATACTTTCTCCAACTAAAAAGAAAAGTTTAAAAAAAACATAAAAGGCAGGAAAATAATGGAAAGAAAGAGCGCAAAAACACTGAACACTCAAATGAACTCATTTACCTCTTTAGTAAAGAGGGCTTCTAATTCTTGTTCATCCAGGAAGCCATCATTATTGACATCTGAAGTTTAAAAAGTCACAAATGCAAAAATTGATTTTAATGCCTTCAAAAATCAATAATTAAAATACAACTCTTCACAACTGGCTTGCAGAAGTGGTACTAACATGAACCAGCCATACGCTAGAGAGAATGTTTCCTCCTTTTTTATGAAGCCTCAGATCAGTCCAATGGATAACAATTTACTACTAATTTATAATTCATAGTTTTTTTAGACAAATATATCTTAACCAGTTTTTTCAAAAATATAAAGTGAAACAGTATGCTATAGGAAAAAAAGTAAATTTTAATATTACAGCATAAAGCATGTTAGATATAACCTAGCTAGTCACAGAAATACCTTCACATTTACAGAGAACCTTACAGTAAGTCATAGTGAGTCAACAGTTAAAGCAGGTAAAAGACACAGCTACTGACTCAAAGTATTTTATGCTGCAGGTCAGCAAAAAAGACCATTCTATTATCCTAGAGAAAAAATCTAAACATTTACTGTCAATAGGACTCGATATTAGACCTTGGCAAAAATCAGTTCAGAACAAAGCAACTATAATCTCTCAAACAGCAGACATAAATATTAATATTTGTATTAAATGTGTTACCATGTAATTTGAAAAATGTCTTGGGGTCAAAGTCATTAGGATCCAATCCATCAGTCTCTTCCCATACCTCTTTTAGTTGATCTTTGCTTCCCTGTGAATCAATTTTTAAAAAAATGCTCAAAACAAATATAATCTATGTATACAGACTGAAAATAAAATACAAATTTGAGAAATGGTACAGAATTAAGAATCTAAAGTACTAATAACTTATGATAAAATTCTACTGTCTGATACAAAGAAGTATCTACATCTAATTACAGTTTCTTAAAGTCATTAATTCTTACTGGATGATTAATTTTGGGATGATTTTCATGCTTTTTCTTCATTTCTTCAAATTTAGATTCTTCTTCTTTTCTCTTTTCTTCATTCAGTGTTTTTAAATATTCTCTCCTTTCATGTTCCTTCATCATTTCATATTTTTTAAATTCTTCATGTCGAGTCTTATCATAGTGTTCCAGATCACTTGTGGCCTATAATGTAATATTTAAACTAAATTACAAGGAGTATTTGAAAATATAAATAAGGGCTTTCCTGCATACAGCATATTCTAACAGAAGGTAGTATAGAAGGTCCAGAAAACATTGGACTCCTCTTTTAAATTCTGCCATTTTATTTTAATCATTATTATTATCAGAATGTAGGCATTAAAAGAAACTCATAGTTCAAAGCAAGCCTCAACTTTAGAAAGCTCCTCATAAGTAAATAATATATAAATTGATTTTTTAAAAGAAGGAAGGGTTGGGACGCCTGGGTGGCTCATCGGGTAAGCCGCTGCCTTTGGCTCAGGTCATGATCCCAGAGTCCTGGGATCGAGTCCTGCATCGGGCTCCTTGCTAGGCAGGGAGCCTGCTTCTCTCCACCTCTGTATGCCACTCTGCCTGCTTGTGTGCTCTTTCTCTTTCTCTGACAAATAAATAAATAAATAAGATTTAAAGAAAAAAAAAAAAGGAAGGAAGGGACTGTATCAAATCTATACAGTATAGAAAACTAGAAAGGTTTCTAACTACTTAACTAAACTCATAGCAAGGCTACAACATCCATTTCAGTAATTCCATACAGTACAACATGAGAGGTCCACAAACTCTTACCGAAAAACCCAGAACCCAGGTATATTTCAGAATTTTCTAGATTTCAGAAAGAGAATATGGCATTTATTCTGTATTATGTATTCCTTGCAAAGTCTGTTATCAAACAGATTAGTACTTCCTCAGCAAAGTCTGGGAATATTCACATTATGTAGACTAAATAAAAAACTACAAATATCCTTACTATAATTGAAGCCAGATTTCAGCTTTTGTAGTGCTTTGGGTTTTGGAATTGTGGGCAAGGGGTTACAGATTGTTATGTCTGTATTATTATCTGTAGTAATAAAGGTTAAACTACCTCCCTTTAAAAATACTCTTGAGAGTATCTAAAAGTCATATTGCCACTTCACTGAATTGACTTATCAAATGACAAAAACCTCAAAGGCACAACAATGACAACATTTTCTGGAATTATTCCCACCGCTTTGATGAGCATATCTAAATCTGTAGATTCAAACTTGTCAGGGTTCAGGTGGTTTAGGTGATCAAATTGTTTTAGAAGAGCATGGTGGTCTATGCCTGTATCTGAAAGAAAATGAGAAAACTGTAAATGATAAAGTACTAAAAGCTAGAAACATTAATATAAGTGGTACATAAGAATAAGCATTTATATTTACTCCTACAGGATTTTATAAGAATATTCAAAATTTTAGATTAAGCATTCATATTTTCTTTTAGAATATTGTACATATTGTTATTCTAGGCAAAACTAATATCCTTGAATCTAGAAAGAAATACAGCATAATATGTACACTTCAATATTATTCTATTATTCTATATATTTCTAGAAAGGCTAGTTGACTATCAGTATAACAGTAAAAACTTTTTTATTATTGTAAAACTACCACATTTCCTACTTTTAATTAGATAAACTCTAATAAACTGCCCTCATCAAAGATCTAAGTAGAGGAGTGCCTGAGTGGCTCATTCAGCTAAGCTACTGACTCTTGGTTTAGGCTCAGGTCACAGTTTCCTGGGAGATGGAATTGAGCCCCACATCGACCAGCATGTCGGGGCTCTGCACTCAGTGAGGAGTCTGCTTGAGATTCTCTCCTTCTGTTCCTCCCCCAACTCATGCTCTCACTCTCTCTTTATTGCAAATAAATTAATCTTAAAAAAAAAAAAAGTAGAATTTCTTTTTTTTTTCCAGTATTTTATTTTTAAGCAATCTCTATACCCAATGTGGGGTTCAAACTCACAACCCCCAGATCAAGAGTCCCATGCTCTTTCAACTGAGCCAGCCAGCTGCCCCCTAAATAGAATTTGTTTTAATTGCTCTAAAATTTATATGAAGGAATTTTTTGTATGCTGCTCCAATGAATCCTTTATGGAACAATAGAAGTCTAATTCAGGTAAATTCATTTGGATTAGGACTTATTTTTTTTTAAAGATTTTATATATTTATTTATCAGGGAGAGAGAGAAAGAGAGCACAAGCAGGGGGAACAGCAGGCAGAGGGAGAAGCAGGCTCTCTGCTGAGCAGGGAGCCTGATGCAGGACTCAATCCCAGGACCCTGGGAACATGACCTGAGCAGAAAGCAGACATTAACTGACTGAGCCACCCAGGCGTCCCAAGATTAGGACTTTTTTTTTTTTTTTTTGAAGATTTTATTTATTTATTTGACAGACAGATATCACAAGTAGGCAGAGAGGCAGGCAGAGAGAGAGAGAGGAGGAGCCAGGCTCCCTGCCAAGCAGAGAGCCCGATGCGGGACTCGATCCCAGGACCTTGAGATCATGACCTGAGCTGAAGGCAGAGGCTTAACCCACTGAGCCACCCAGGTGCCCTAGGACTTATTTTTAAAGAAATATCAATTGTTTTTCTTGTGAATAATTTTTTAAAAACAAGCTACAGTGCTACAGTTTGAGGCACATGGCTGGTTCAATTGGTTAAGCACTGACTTTTTTTTTTTAAATATTTTATTCATTTATTTGAGAGAGAGAAAGCATGAACAGGAAGAGCAATAGAGAGACACAGCAGACTCCTCACTGAGCAGGGAGCCCAACAACTCGGTGCTCAGTATGGAGCCAAAGGCAGCAGCACTTAACCTACTGAGCCACCCAGGTGCCCCTCAGGTCTTGATCCCAGGGTTGTGAGTTAAAACCCCACTTTTGACTCCACGCTGGGCATGGAGCCTATTTAAAAACAAAACAAAACAAAAACAAAAAAGTAGCCAAACCAACAAACAGAAAACAAGCTACAGTTTACTATAGTTGAATGGGTAAAGTGAATCTAGACTATTTCAGTTGGATTATAGAATTGAGCAAAATAGGCACACGTGTTGATTTGTTAAAAGTCAGAGTTCTCACTTAGGAAAAAGGAATGTACAAATAGGGAATGGTGGAAGGCAAGAAAGAAATCTCTGACTCGGCAACAGGCCAACTACAAATCAAAACACATGAGATACCACTTCACACCAGTCAGAATGACCAAAAATAACAAGTCAGGAAATGACAGATAATGGCGAAGTGGGGAAAAGAGGAACCCTCCTACACTGCTGGTGGGAATGCAAGCTGGTGCAGCCACTTATTTCCACATACTGGTAAACAGTATGGACAGTCCTCAAAAAGTTGAAAATAGAGCTACCGTATGACCCAGCAATTGCACTACTGGGTATTTACCCTAAAGATATAAATGGAGTGATCCGAAGGGGCACATGCACCCCAATGTTCATAGCAGCAATGTCCACGGTAGCCAAACTATGGAAAGAGCCCAAATGTCTATCAACAGATGAACAGACAAAGAAGATGTGGATGGAAAACTACTCAGCCATCAAAAAAAAAAAAGAGAAATCTTGCCACTTACAGTGATGTGGATGGAACTAGAAGGTATTATGCTAAGCAAACTAAGTCAATGAGAGAAAGAAACTTACCATATGATCTCACTCATATGTGGAATTTAAGAAACAAAACAGAGGATCATAGGGGACAAGAGGAAAAAATAAAACAAGATGAAATCAAAGAGGGAAACAGAGGTGCCTGGGTTAAGCATATGCCTCCAGCTCAGGTCACGATCCTGGGGACCCCTGCTCAGCAGGAAATCTGCTTTTCCCTCTGTCTCTGCCCTTCCCCCATGCTGTGCTTCTTTCTCTCCCTCTCCTTCTCTCAAATGAATGAATAAAATCTTTAAAAAAAGAAAAAAATATATATTCCAGAAGCAACGAGCACACCTAACGCCAGTCTTTGGTCTGTAATATCATTTCCCACTAAAAAGAACCAGGAATCCTCAGGGAAACGACTCATTCCAGGCCTGAGGCAGGATAGGTACAAGATGAGCCTGGAACATTTTGTTATACTAGAAAGTAAGAAACTGCTTAATGTAGTTAGATTAAGATTTCACTGAATTCTTTCAATGGCACTATATAAATTTTCCTTATGAAGAAAAGATTTGTCCTAAGACCCAGGCCTAAAGGATATGACCAAACAGTGAAGCACATGAAAAGATATTTAACCTCACCCCAAACAGGAGAAATACATGTTAAAACTACGCTATTATACTATCTAACAGAATGGTCAAACTCTTAAAATTCGAAGATACATACTATTTTTTTTAAAATATTTTATTTATTGATTTGACAGAGAGAGATCACAAGTAGACAGAGAGGCAGGCAGAGAGAGAGAGAGAGAGGGAAGCAGGCTCCCCGCTGAGCAGAGAGCCTGATGCTGGACTCGATCCCAGGACCTTGAGATCATGACCTGAGCCGAAGGCAGTGGCTTAACCCACTGAGCCACCCAGGCGCCCCCGAAGATACATACTTTTAACAGGATGTAAGAAATTACAAGAGTATGTACTGATACAAGGTCTGTGCAGGTGGCAATATCTATCAAAATTACAAATACATATATATATAGTTTCTCTGCAGGGAAGTTACCCTACAGATAATTTTACACAGATATGGAGTGATATATGTACAAGAGTGTTTGCTAGAAATAACCCAAAAAGCCATCACCAGTAGCCCTAGTTAAATAAATTATGGCATATCGATATAATGGAAATCTATGCAGCTGCAAAAGAAACTTTTTTTTTAAATGAAGATGGTCTCTACGTACTAATACAGAATGACCTCCAAATAGGTTGTTAAAAGAAAAATACAAAGCACCAAATGTGTTTTACATGCTGTCTTTTGCAAAAGAAGAGAGGAAAAATAAGGATTTTTATTTGTTTGCTTATATAAGAATGAAGAAATCGAAGGATCATGTTTGGGGTAGTGGGAACTTACAGGGTACAAAAATATCAGAGCACTTTTGCTATATGTCTTCTATAGTTTCTAGTTTTCACCCATGTGAATGTATTACTTACTTTAAAAATTACACCCCCCCCAAAAAAGGACCCTTTAAGTCTTTCTTCCAATTATCAGAAATTTCAATTCATAAATTCTGAATCAGTGAGAAAACACTCATAAGCTTTCTAAGCATCAGTTTTCTTTAGACAATGAAATTCAGCATCTATTTGGAATAAAGAAAATATTGCCAAGATTGAAGGGATGGAAGTTGTCTAACAGGAAAGTAATCTCAAAATACCTTAGGCCCAGCTTTAAGGATGGAATGTCCTTCTATGTCTGACTACCTGAAGTAGGAGGGTATGAGCTCAGTTTACCTCTCATTGATATCCTTAATCTCAGGATAAGGAGTGCTGTTTGTTTGTTTGTTTGTTTGTTTGTTTTGACAGAGAGAGAGAGAGAGCACAAGAAGGCAGAGTAGCAGGCAGAGGGAGAGAGAAGCAGACTCCCTGCTGAGTAAGGAGCCTGACATGGGGCTCCATCCAAGGACCCTGGGATCATGACCTGAGCCCAAGGCAGTTGCTTAACCAACTGAGCCACCCAGGCACCCCTGGTATTTGTTTTCTAGGTCTATTCACCAGCAGGGAGTTTAATGCTCTATACAAGCATTTGTCCAATATGATCCACTGACCAGAGTCACATGTTTAAAATGCATCTTACAGTGGTGCCTGGGTGGCTCAGCGGGTTAAGCCTCTGCCTTCGGCTCAGGTCATGGTCTCAGGGTCCTGGGATCGAGCCCTACATCAGGCTTTCTGCTCAGCAGGGAGCCTGCTTCCCTCTCCTCCTCTGCCTGCCTCTCTGTCTACTTGTGATCACTCTCTCTCTCCGTGTCCAATAAATAAATAAAATCTTTAAAAATAAATAAGTAAAAATAAAATAAAATGCATCTTACTCACCCTCAGAATCAGAAATTCTAGAGATAAGATCCAGTAAACTGCATTTTTAACTAGCTCCCCAGGTGATTCCTTTGCGATATAAAGTTTACCAGGAGTAAAGGTTCAGGTGTTTATTAAGGCCAATGAACCATTCAGACAACCAGCCTATGGGGACATGTCACAAAGACAGAGACACCAGCTGGAAGGATCTCCCACTTGTCAAATCTAACCTCTTGATTTTCATTCATAATTAGAAAGGCCATTTCCAACTTAATAAAGAACTTGATCAACTTGTCATCTAGTGTTTTTTGGTATTATTTTCTACACTGATATCTTTGATTCATTTGTACTTATTCTGATGTGAATGAGAGAGAGATCTAACTATACCTTTTCCAAATAGCTACCCAATTGTATCAACATTATTCTTTTTAAAAATCTATCTTGATCACACTAATAATGACATATCACCTTTAATTCAAACTAAATTCTAAATATATTTACTTTTACTTCTGGTATTTCTATTCAGTTCCACTGGTCTTTCTACTTATATGCCAAAACCATACAGTTCTCATGAGTGAGGCTTAGTGATAGGTTTTAATATCTAACATAACTATTTAGTCCTTCATTGTTCTTTTTCCAAGGTATGTAGCTTTTCTTGCTTGTTTCCTTTTTTCATATGAACTTTAAAATTGACTTGTCTAGTATCGGGGGAAAGTAGATATTTTTTATTTGGATCATGATAAATTTATAAATTAACCTAAGGAATATTGACATGTTTACAATGTTGAGTCTTTGTATCAAAAAAATGGTATGTCTTCTCATTTTTTTCAAGCCTACTTTTGCATCTTTCAGGAGTATTTTAAAGCTTTTGGTCTATAAATCCAATTTCTTAACAGGTTTACTCTGAGTATTTTATTTTTGTTGGTATCTGTAAATAGAGTCTTTTCTTCCATTATATCTTGTAACTGGCTGTTGCATATGAAAAATACTGATTTCTATATATTAAATTTACCTTGCTGAATTTTCCTGTTGTTTATTTTTTAGTCAATTATTTTTAGATTTCCAAGTATAAAATCATATTACCTGCAAACAGAAATGGTTTTATCAGCTCCTTTTCAATGACTTTACCTCCAATTTTTTTTTTCATTTATATAATTGTTTTGGCTAGTACCTCCAATGCAATGCTAATTAGTAGTGGTGACTGTGGGCATCATTGTCTTATTACTGATTTTAGTTAGAATACAAAATTGTATTTCCCCAGTAAGTATGATGTGGCTGGGTTAGACATACCTGATCGTGTTACAGAAGTATCTATTGATTACTATTTTATTACTTTTCTAAAATTAAGGAGGGGTATTAAATTTTGTCAATTGCTCCTTTTCTATAGATATGGAGACAGTCGTTTGATATATGAGATTACTTTCTTATCTGTGGATATCTTCACATTTCAAAAATTCTACTTCATAGCTATTTAATCTCCTCAAAATCTAAAATTAAAAAAATATAGGAGCATGAATAGGCAGAGCGCAGAGGATTTTCAGGGCAGTGAAACTACTCTGCATGAAACTATAATGGTAGATACATATCATTAAAGATTTGTCCAAACCCATGAATGTAAAACACCAAAAGTGAACTCTAATGTTAATTATGGACTTGGGTGATTATGATGTGTGATGTATGTAGGTGTATGTAGGTTCATCAATTGTAAAAATTTGTAAAAATTTACCACTCTGGTGGATGATGCTAGTAATGAAGGAGGTAATTCATGTTTGGGGGTATATGGGAAATTTCTGCACCTTTACTTCAATTTTGCTATAAACCTTATACCACTCTAAAAAAAAAAAAATCAAATCTTAATTTTTACTTATTTATTTATTTATTTTAGAGATAGCATGCTTGTGCATGAGCGGGGAACAGGATAGGGATGGGGGAAGGGGCAGAAGGAGAGGGATAAATGATCTTGAGCAGACTCTGCACTGAGCTTGGAGCCCCATACAAGGCTGGGCTCTATCTCGCAATCCTGAGATCACAACTTGAGTCAAAACCAAGAGTTGGATGTTTAACTAACTCTGCCACCCAGGCACCCCAAATCTTAAATTTTTTTAAAGATTATTTATTTATTTATTTGACAGAGAGAGAGATCACAAGTAGGCAGAGAGGCAGACAGAGAGAGAGGGGGAAGCAGGCTCCCTGCCGAGTAGAGACCCCGATGTGTGGCTCGATCCCAGGACCCTGAGATCATGACCTGAGCCAAAGGTAGAGGCTTAATCCACTGAGCCACCCAGATGCCCCCAAATTTTAATTTTTAAAGATAGAAGTTTCAAAGATTTATTCTAACTTATCCTTTGTCCTTTGACTTCTTGATTTCTTTTGTCACACCAAAATTTTTTATCTTTATTTCTATTCATGTGATGATTTATACTATTAGATTTCCTAATATTAAGTCAGTCTTGCATTCCTAAAATAAATCTACTTGCTATTTTGATATACAATAATTTTGGTTTGGGCATCAATAACATATTAAGAGTATGAAAGCTTTCCTTCTTTTTCTATGCTCTGGAATAGTTTAAATAGCACTGACAATCTGTTCTTAAAAAAAAAAAAGATTTATTTATTTTTACTTGATAAAGAGAGGGAGTAGAGGGACAGAGAAGGAAGAGAATCCCAAGCAGACTCCTCACTGACTGTGGAGCCCAACATGGGGCTCGATCTCATAATCTTCAGATCATGACCTGAGCTGAAACCAAGAGGTGGACACTTAACCAACTTAGCCACCCAGGTGCCCCCGAGAATCTGTTCTTTTATAGTTTAATAGAATTCCTTTTGACACTCTCCAGGCCTGGTGTGGCTTTCTTAGAGCATCTCTGACAACTTTTCTATTTCATCTATGGAAATTGTTACAATTAGATTTTCTCTCTTTTGGTTTCCTTTGATGTTATTCTTCCTCCTTTAAGTCAGTGGCTTAATTCATTACTTTTCATTGACATAACTATTTAAGGCTAATCATTTTGACTTTTGAATGATGTGAATACATTACCTATTTTAAAAACTAAATTTTAAAAATTAAGAGAAAACAAATCAATACTAACATTAAATTTTGACTAGAAGAACACGGTATGTGACAATATAAGCTGACCTGAACAACCATATGCTGAAACTTTCCTACTTTTTCTTTAGCACTTACCTTGAAGAGAATCCAATTTAGCTTTAATCAGCATTCTTAACCTTGCCACTTCTTGCCTTTTCAGCTCATCAAGTTTTGTCCTCACGTGGTGACTTACTAAATCCAGTTCTTTGCTTAGCCTCCCACTCTGTTAAAATTAACAAGTTAGCTTTATTTATTACATTCCTTTTTTAGATCAGACACAATATATTAAAATGAGGGTTATGATAAAGTAGTGATAAATGCTTTTGACTAATTTAGATAAATGTGATATTACAAAAAGATTTCTTTTAAAAGATACTCAGTTTATAACTCTAAAAGCAAGATACGTAAAAACTATATATTATGGAAAGAATCAAAATGTCCTTCAAGAGATCAATGGATAAATGAGATGTGTACACATATACAATGGAATATTAGTCAGCCATGAAAAAGAATGAAATCTTGCCATTTGCAATGACATGGATGAAGCTAGAGAGTATTAAGCAAAATGAGTCAGAGAAAGACAAATAACACATGATTTCACTCATATGTGGAATTGAAGAAAGAAAGCAGATGAATATGGGGTGGGGAGAGAGGCAAACCATAAAGGAGACTCTAAACTACAGGAAAACACACTGAGGGTTACTGGAAGGGAGGTGGGCAGGGAGGATGGCTTAAACAGTGATGGGTATTAAGGAGGATACTTATTGTAATGAGCACTGGGTGTTGTATCTAAACGACAAATCACAAAATTCTGTACCTGAAACTAATATTATACTGCATGTTAACTGGAATTTATAAAACTTTGGAGAAAGAAAGAAAAAGATAAAAATAAAAACCATACAATTGAAAGCGTATTTAAGCACAAAGGAAAAACTCAAAAAGTAACTGGAATTGCAAAATGGTACAGCCACTTTCAATAACAGTTCGGCAGTTCCTCAAAAAGTTAAACACAGAATTACCATATGACCCAGCAAATCCATTCTTAGGTATATACCTAAAAAATTGAAGCATATGTTCACATAAAAACTTGTATCTGAATGTTCATAGCAGCATTATTCATACTAGCATAAAAGTAGAAATGACCAAATGTCCATCAGCTGATAAGTTGATAACCAAAATATGGAATATCCATAAAGTGAGATATTGTTCAGTCATAAAAAGAAATGAATGTACTAATATAAGGTACAGTACAATGAACCTTGAAAAATATTATGCTCAAAGAAACCAGACACAAAAGACCACATATTGTATAATTCCATTTATATGGAATGTCCAAAATAGGCAAATCCAGAGAGATAGAAAGAAGATCAATGGTTCCCAAGGGAAAAGAAGAGGGGGGAAATGAGGAGAGATAGCTTAATGGGCACACGGCTTCTTTTGGGGAGGAACGAAATTGTTTAAAAGTAGATAGTGCTGAGGGCCACCTGTAGATACACCACTGAATTATATGTTTTAAAGGCACAAGTTTTAAGGTATGTGAATTACATTTCAATAAACTCATCTTAAAAAATAACTTTGCCACCTTAAACTTTAGTAATTACACATATAAATAACTTTTCAAAATTAATCTTTTTAAGGTTGTCTCCTTTGATTACTTTTCTCATAGGTAAGTACATGTTCTAAAATGTAAGAAACAAAATAGCGAATAGCTTACTTTCTCTTGTTTATTAGTGCATTTGCAATCACAAACTGCAAATCTGACTAGCAATCAGGCAGAAAATCATTTTAGGACTGAGTCCATGGGGCCCACTGCGGAAGATAAAGAAAGAACCCCCCTACAAGGGAGACCAAGAAAGAATGTTCAGAGGTAAGAAGGAGAACTAGGAGAATTTGTTGTTATAGAAGCAAAAAAAGCAATATACTCAATGAGATAGTAGTCATTATTACATATAACAATGGTTCTCAAAATGTGGTCCCCAAGTAGAAGCATTAGCACCAACAGCGAACTTTAGAAATGTAAGCTCTAGACTTACTGAATCACAAAGTCTATAGGTGGGGCCCAGGAATCTGTGTTTCAACAAGCCTAAAATCTGAGAACCACCAAGATGATAGAAAGGAGTCCAGTAAGAAGAGGAATAAAAAGTATCCATTGGGGGGCGCCTGGGTGTCTCAGTGGGTTAAGCCTCTGCCTTTGGCTCAGGTCATGATCCCAGGGTTGTGGGATCGAGCCCCACATCAGGCTCTCTGCTCATTGGGGAGCCTGCCTGCCCCTCTCTCTGCCTACTTGTGATCTGTCAAATAAATAAAATCTTTTTAAAAAAGTATTCACTAGATTTGGCAATTAATAAGTCACTGACAGGGGTGCCTGGGTGGCTCAGTGGGTTAAAGCCTCTGCCTTCAGCTCAGGATGATCCCAGGGTCCTGGGATGGAGCCCTGCATCAGGTTCTCTGCTTGGCAGGGAGTCTGCTTCCCTTCCTTTCTCTCTGCCTGCCTTTCTGCCTACTTGTGATCTCTGTCTGTCAAATAAATAAATAAAATCTTAAAAAAAAAAAAAAAAAAGAAGTCACTGACATCCTTCATGAAAGTATATTCAGTGGAGTGATATGGGCAAAGCCATAATCTTTCCAGTCAGCAATATTTGGGAACTGAAGAAATGTAGTATGATTCCCCTTTCAAAATACTTGGCTGAGGGGCATCTGGGTGGCTCAGTCATTAAGCTTCTGCCTTCAGCTCAGGTCATGATCCCAAAGTCCCAGGATGGAGCCCCACATTGGGCTCCCTGCTCAGCTGGGAGCCTGCTTCTCCCTCTCCCTCTGCTGCCACTCCCTCTGCTTGTGCTCTCTCCCTCTCTCTCTCTCTGTCAAAATAAACAAATAAAATCTTTAAAAACCCAAAAACAAAAACCTGACCAAAATACTTAGCTGAAAAGATAAGGACAAATTCTAACTTTTTTCTGACAGTTTTTCCTAAGTCTTCCTGAGCTATGTATAATGATTCCTATTGTCTATTTTAATTCTTATGTCTTTTTCATTGAATAACTGTCTAACTTACTACATTTCATCTCCCCTTGACCCAGCAGGGAAGAGGAACTGATTGTGAAAGGCAGACGATTATAAAAGTATTCCCATACCCCAGGATTATCTCTCTCTATTGTACTTCCTATTACCACCTTTTCTGTTAGCCACAAATAATGTTCTTTAAAAAAAAAAAAAAAAGATTTATTTATTCATTTGAGAGAGAGAGAGAGAGAAAGTGAGAGGAGGGAAGGGAAGGGGGAGGGGGAGAGGGGGAGAGAGAGAGAGAGAGAGAATTTCAAGCAGACTCCACACTGACCGTGGAGCCCAACACACTTTCAATTTCACACGTTCAATTTCATGACCCTGAGATCATAACCTGAGTGGAAACCAAGAATTGGACATTTAACCCACTGAGCCACCCAGGCATACTGCCATAAATAATGTTTTTTTTTTTAAAGATTTTATTTATTTATGAGAGAGAGAGAGAGGGAGAGAGAGCGAGCACAGGCAGACAGAATGGCAGGCAGAGGCAGAGGGAGAAGCAGGCTCCCTGCAGAGCAAGGAGCCCGATGTGGGACTCGATCCCAGGACGCTGGGATCATGACCTGAGCCGAAGGCAGCTGCTTAACCAACTGAGCCACCCAGGCGTCCCCATAAATAATGTTTTAATCCTAACTTAAGAAGATAAGAGACACTGAAAGTTCTACATTAAATATTATTTACTCTAGGACATTAGCTCCATAGATCAAATTAATTCTTCAAAGGAAATATAAGATCACTCTCAAAATAATCCAGGGAAATTATTGGCATGATGCTATTACCTCTATCAGGAAAAATGACTTCACCACTGCTGAATTATGAGCCCATTCTCAGCATTTCCAAAATATATTATACCCCCATCATATTTTCATGCTAATAAACTTTTTTCTAGATATTACTTACTCAGAATAAATAAGAGCCTCATCTTGTATTCCTAATATTTAATTCAGTGTCCGGGATGTTCTAATGTTTGTTAAATAATTATTTAATTACATTTACCTTTATTTCCTCTATGTCTGCTTTCTGGAGCTTTTCTCTGAAATGATTATCTGTTTCCAGCACATCAATCACTTGCTTAAGATATTCATCATAGTAAAGTCCAGTATCCTTCAAATTAAGAAACAAACAATAATGTTTCTCAAAGCTTTTCCTTCCCTGCATCTAAAGATCTCAATCCTAAAAAAAAAAAAAAAAAAAAAGACTAGCAAAATGGCATTGAGACACATCTACTCTGATAGCTGGGACAAAGTTAAAAAGCTGCATTTCTCAAATGAGGAATTTTATATCAGAACCAATATATAGTTTTTTTTTTTACATAAAGGTAAATATTCTATATGGCTTTGATAATGAGGACTTAATAATATTAGTTGGTTGATTTTACTCCACTGTCACCTGTCTCTCCTCACTGCTGTATCTTCTTTGAATATAATACAGTGTTTTCTTGGCTAGTGAGCTCTCCACTGGAAATGTATTATGATTAATATTCTCCCGTGCATTATTTAATATATGAACTACATTAAATAAACAATGTCTAATATTAACAACATATGCTTATCCAATATTCTTTTACTGCTATTTCAGAAATAGTTCTTAAATGTACAATTTTACAAGTAACAAATATTAGCAAGATTTGGTTAAAATTCTTCCCACAAGATTATCTTTATCATTTCACTTACTGGTGGTTCTATCTTTGCGCTGTCCACAGGTTGAGTATTTTTTACTTTTGTCTTGTCTATGTCTATAGGCACAGCTTCAAGAGCAGTAAGTAGACAGGAAACCAAGAGAAAACAATATCGTAGTAAGATGGTCCTCCACATCATCTGAAATAAAGGTATTATTATAGTAAGGTCCCGAAAAGATGTCTTCAAACTATATACATACATTCCCAATGCCATGTTAATAATATATACCTAATTTCAAGAAATTTAATACAATAAAATTGTTCTAGAAAGAGGTTTAAATATAGACTATAGCTTATCAAAATAATGCTTAAAACAGATCACTAAAGAAAATCAGGGGAGAAATGCTTTTCAACTAAAATTAAAAAGAAAACAAAATTTTTTAAAAATTTTTTTAAAAGATTTTACTTATTCATTTGACTGAGAGAGAGAGAGGACAAGTAGAGGGAGTGACGGAGAGGGAGAAGCAGACTCCCCACTGAGCAGGGAGCCCATCGTGGGGCTCAATCCCAGGACCCCAGGATCATGACCCCAGCCAAAGGTAGATGCCCAACCGATTGAGCCACCCAGGAGCCTCAGAGAGCAAAGTTCTAAAGTTTAAACAGCTTATAGTATAAGAAAACATTTAGTTAATTATAAAAGCTTCAAATAAAAATGATAATAAGGGTCTCAAAAGCTTAAAAAATTAAAAATTAAAAAATTAAAAAAATTTTTTTAAAGTTTAAAAATAGCCCAAATTTAAGGAAAGGAGAAGTAAGGAAAAACTATATTTTTTCGATTAAAATACTAGAGAGCCAAAATTTTTCTAGATATATTTAATTTAGCTTCAATCTAATTTTGAAAATAAGTTGCTCTATAAATATAAGTTGATTAAAAGAGACAACTAGATAAAATATTTTTAGCCTTATAAACATTATTTTATCATAGTAGTCATTTGCTAAAATTCTTTTCAGTCAATAATTTTTCAAATAAATAAATCAATAAAATATCAAGCTTGAAACAAGAGAGGACCAAGTATTGCTATTCCCATAATATTATTCATATTTTGTTTATTTAAACAGTTTCCACTCCATATGGATCTTTAGTAGCTGTGGAGGATCCACTGTAAGAATTAGAATGAATAAAATCTCATATTTAATTGATTTTATATACATAGACTCATGTTAGGGTCCAAGTCAAGAATATTGGTCTAACCAACAGTGTGAATATACATTATTTAACTCAGAATCTCCCAAACTTAACTAACCATGGACTTTTTTTATTTAAGTCACATTTTTATCCGTAGAACACAATTTGGAAAAGAGTATACTGCCTCGTTTTTGCCACAACTCTACATAGCAGATAGGGCAGTGATTTGTTTTACAGGTGAAGAAAATTTGAATTAAAACAATTCACTCACAGAGCATGGTCTTGCATTACAAAATCACTAGAACTCACATTTTAGTGCTACTTCTAGTATATCAAATTTTTTAGCATCTCTATTGAGATATAACTCACATGCCATAAAATTCACCCATTTAAGGCACAGGGTTTGTCTATTCTGTAAAGCTGCTTCTCAAAGTTTAGTTCTCAAACCTGAAGTATCAAATCACCTGGGAGCTTGATTCTCAGGCTGTACCCAAGACCTCTGAAATCAGAATCACTGGGGTGAGGTCCAGAACCTGTTTTAAGAAACTTTCCAGGTAGGGTGCCTGGATGGCTCAGTTGGTTAAGCGACAGCCTTCGGCTCAGGTCATGCTCCTGGAGTCTCAGGACAGAGTCCTACACTGGGCTCCCTGCTCAGCAGGGATTCTTCTTCTCCTTCTGACACCCTCCCACCCCGGCTTTCTCTCTCTCTCTCTCTCTCATTCTCTCTCTCAAATAAATAAATAAAATCTTTGGGGGGAAGAAAAAAAGAAACTTTCCAGGTAAACACACTATAGGCTGCTGAAGGGGAGGGGGTAAAGGGATGGGGTAACTGGATGCTGGACATTAAGGAGGGCACTTGATGTAATGAGCACTGGCTATTCTAGAAGGCTGATGAATCACTGACCTCTACCTCTGAAACCAATAATACATTATATGTTAATTAATTGAATTTAAATTTTAAAAAGTTGGAAGGAGGGAAGGAAGGAATGAAGGAAGGAAGGAAGGAAGGAAGGAAGGAACTAACTCTCCGGGTATTTCCTACATACATATGCTTAAGCCCAAGATTCATTCTCCTCTAAGGCACTAGTTCTTCCACATGATCATCGTGAGTAAATGTTTTTCAGGATGAAATGTTTGGGAGATGATGGCTCAATGAAGCTAAATAAAGTTTTCATCATTACAAGGCTTTCAGAACTTGTGATGGGCTACTATGCATTATGAATCTTTAATAGAAGGATGATTTGTTTCTCCACAGAAAGTACATCTACCATGAATCATGTCCTCTTCCCAGAATTATTTTTTATGACAACCAAAGTTTATTTCTCATTCATGCTTCATGCCCATTACAGGTATATATTTTATTTTTGGTTTTCATTTTTTTTAAAGATTTTATTTATTTATTTGACAGACAGAGATCACAAGTAGGCAGAGAGGGAGAGAGGAGGAAGCAGGCTTCCTGCTGAGCAGAGAGCCCAATGCAGGGCTCGATCCCAGGACCCCGAGATCATGACCTGAGCCAAAGGCAGAGGCTTTAACCCACTGAGCCACCCAGGCGCCCCTTGGTTTTCATTTCTGAGAGATAATTCACATGCCACAAAGCTTATTCTTTGAAATTGCACAATTCAGAGGATAATTGTATATTCACACGGTTATGCAATTATCACCGCTATTTTTTTTTTACATCTTCATCACTCCAAAAAGAACTCTGTGCCCATTAACAGTCCTCCCCCCACCATTCCCTCATTCTCACAACACCTAGCAACCATTAATCCATTAATCCACGTTCAGTCTGTATAGATTTGCCTATTGTGGACATTTCATATATATGGAATCATATAACATGTAGTCTTTTGTATCTGGCTTTATTTAGCACTGTATTTTCAAAGTCCAATGATGTTATAACATGTATCAGTACTTCATTCTTTTGTATAGCATTTGTATATACCACATTTTGTTTATCAATTCATCAGTTGATGGACATTTGGGTTGTTTCTACTTTTTTTGCTACTGTGAATATTTGTGTTCAAGTTATTGAGTTACTATGTTTTCAGTTCTTTCAGTTACATAACAAGGAGTAGAATGGCCAGGTCTATTTGGTGACGCCATGTTTAAGTTTTTGAGGAACTGCCAAACTATCTTCCATAGCACCATTTTACATTCCCACCAGCAATATATGAGGCTTCCAATAGCTCCACATCCTCACCAACATGTGTTATTGTCTTTTATATTACAGCCAACCTACTAGATGCGAAGTGGTGTCTCATTTTGATTTCAATTTGCATTTCATTAGCTAATAATGCGAGGCATCTTAGCATGTATTTATTAGCTATCTCTTTACATTTTTTTTTAAGATTTTATTTATTTATTTGACAGAGAGAGACACAGCGAGAGAAGGAACACAAGCAGGGGGAGTGGAAGAGGGAGAAGCAGGCTTCCTGCTGAGCAGGGAGCCCAGTGTGGGGCTTGATCCCAGGACCCTGGGATCATGACCTGAGACAAAGGCAGATGCTTAGCAACTGAGCCACCCAGGCGCCCCCTTCTACACAATTTCTAAAGTTTAATCAAGTCTCCATGGCACCTAACACGGTAAACATATAATTGGAAAATGAGTAAGTGCTAACATTATTTGAATAGTCTTTCTATAAATTGTGCATGCAGAAGATCAGCTAAGAGATACACCTCTGTAACTTCATTCTGCAGACCTCCTCAGGAACTGTGACTAGCCCTGGATATGGCTAATCCAGAGTTTAGAAGAATCTTTCACATAGATTCCCTTCTTCCACCCATACTACCTCCAGCGTCCTATTCTCTCCTCCTTCTACCACTTAACACAACATACACAAGGGCAATTCATAAGCAGTTCTATCTTAGCAGTTGGCAGCTGTCACATTATTTTGAAATATGCTCTTTTTAAAAATATTGTCCACCTTTACTTCAATATACAATAGAAGCCTGAGATTAATAGAAGTAAAATATAGTTAATTGAATCTTGGAAGTGGAATCCCTTTTGCAATTTGTCTCTTCTCTCACTGTTCTGCCAGGTTTCCCATAAATGAGAAGGCAAGTCAAGAGAGGAATAGGTTTGAGTACGAATGTGTGTGTGTGCGCCCACACACACCTCAGCATCTCAAAATGACGAAGTAACAAAAAGTCTCTGGGTATCTACTCTAAAACATTTACTGAATGTATGGCTCATTAACTTTTAATTGGGACCCAGACTTATTACATAACAATAGAAACCATTAATTGAGTGTTTACAGTATACCAAACAGTATGCTACATTTTTTTTATATTAAGTAATTAATGACTCTGTGAAATAAGTATTATGATCACCAATTTAAAGTACAGGAAACTGAAAAATAATAAATAAGTAAATAAATAAAGTACAGCACACGGAGACGTATCAGTTTAAAAACCTGATTGGGTTCACACAGGAGTAAGTCATACAGCCAAAAGTTTAGGCCTGGGAATGACTGACTCCGAAGCTTATGACTGTTTTTATTTTTATTTTATTTTTTTTAAAGATTTTATTTATTTATCTTACAGATAGAGATCGCAAGTAGGCAGAGAGGCAGGCAGAGAGAGGAGGAAGCAGGCTCCCTGCTGAGCAGAGAGCCCGATGCGGGGCTCGATCCCAGAACCCTGGGATCATGACCCCAGCCGAAGGCAGAGGCTTTAACCCACTGAGCCACCCAGGTGCCCTTATGACTGTTTTTTTAAGCAGTGGTTCTCAAAGTGTGAACCCTGGACCAGTAGCAGTAGCATCACCTGGGAGTTAGTTAGTTAGAAAGTCTGGCTTCCTCCAGACTTCTAAATTGGAGATTCAGGGAGGGAGGGACATAATCTGTTTTAACAAGCCCTATAGGTGATTCTGATGCATGCTAACATTTGAAAACATACTGCCTCTCTTTGCTCTATTATTCACAACCTCCTCTGCAAAGAGAGACAAAGAGAACGCTTATCTGAAGAGTAAATTTAGATCCTCAAGGAACAGAGAAATGGGTGTTACATCT